TGTTGTTGTTGTTGTTGATATATCACAATCCTTTACCCCTTTACACCCTAACATCAGTATGCATGTTCTCAATACTGTTCTTTATACATTTCCTATCATACTTACAAGGAGAATTTGTGTAATAATCAAGATCTCTCTTTAATTGGTGATCATTTACATTATTCTCGTCACCTTACTGTGTGATTCAGGGGTGACTTTGTTAGGAGAAATTACCAGTAGACGCTAGTCACTCCAAGGGGTCAAAATCTCTACAATCTAGAGAATTTTGATCAAATGAAATTTGACAAGAACCATTGCAAGGGTAATTAAATTCAAAACATTGCCTGTACAAAGGCTTGCATACCTGAAAGTAACAAGGTGTTCAGAGATGACTTGCGATGAACTGGTGACCTCAGCACTTGACATGGGGTGCAAATTCAACTCAGAGCTGACCACACCTCCTCTTGCCTCCTCACATTCTTTTAATAAGACCTGTACCTGAAGATAAAAGGACCACCACAGAAGTGAATCCTTATTTGTGAATTCCTGCAATTCCCATCCAACATTACTAATCTTATCATTGAGGTTTTGTTTTGTTTTCTTTGAATATGACACAATTTTTTTTTTACCTTTTAAATTGGAAAACATAACATCACTCTCACAGGTAGGTTTTTATGATAAACAGAGACATGGATGCAAGCTCTACAGAAAGCAATTTGTAGGATGCAAAAAGGAGACCCAGCATTGAAAAGCTAAGAACTCATTAGGTTGTTCATATGTATCACATAGGGTTCTTAGAGGGCGAGAGTCGGTTCAAGCGGTTTCAAGTGGTTCAAGTGGTGCCCCGGCCGGACCAATACTCATGGTCTTAAAATAAGTGAGGAGAATTTGCTACCTTTCTATAATCAAGAAATGGATAGATATTCTAGTCTTCTCGGATAAAGAACGAGTTAGCTGTAGGCCCCTCCTGCAGGGTTAGGGGTAGGAGACGTTAATTTCCCATGCACGAGATTACTGTGTGGTGGATGTCCTCCCCTGCATGGGATGGGTGGGTGTTGGCCCTGAAAAGCCCCTATGGGTAGTGGTCAATTAACCTATGTATGTATGTATGTACATGTATGTTTCAATCCTCACACATGACACAGTGAAATGTAAAAACGAGAATTATTGTTTAAGATGACGAGCAGTAGACATGACTTTTTGTCTTCTGATACACTAGCTGTTCTGTTAATGGCACGTGTAAACATGTACAAGCCTGGAATATGTTAAGGATATTAAGAATTAGTAAATACTAATACAGTGGATAGTGTTGAAGGCATGCTCTGATTGGCTAGTCAAACTCCGAATATCCTTTGCTATTTACCTCCGAGCAACTCGGGAAAAAATGGCGTCCCGGTTTGCATCCATGACAAGCGAAGAAATCACTCAAATCAATTTTTGGTGGTGCATATTATCTCACTGTTTTAGTATATACTAAAACAACTATTCACCTCAGTGTCGGTGGTTAGCGGTGGATATTTACCTCGCCGCTTTGCAGCTCGGTAAATATCCACCACTAACCACCTCCACTTCCGTGAATAGTTGTCAATTACACAAGCCATGGCAATTTAAAACATTGCAACCTGTACGTGTAAATGTTTGAAAGAGGAAATATCTGATGAAAAATGTTAACATACATGTATATCTACAATCTGCAAAAAGTAGTAAGACAGCCTTGATACTAATTTGCTACATATGCACTGTATCATACACATATCTTATTAACCAAGTGTGAGGGCTGTACTAGGAGAATATCGGCCTGAGGTCTTGACAGTACGGACCAAGCGCAGCAAGGTCCACACAAACAAGACAGAGGGCCCATATTCTTCCAGTACGGTCCCGAGCGAGCTTGGTTAATAAGAGATTTATTATACGACTGAAGTTCAAAGGGACACAAGTGCGGTATCATTCAGGACCATTCGGGACAGTGCCCGGTCCAATACTTAGAGAATATTAACCAGCAATAGAGCATTTTGATTGGTTGATTTTAGTTACTGGCCCTCTGACTGCCCGAGTTGTGTAATAAATTCATATATTGTTTACCGCTCAGGTATGTTTTCGTTTCTGATTCCCACAAACCTGTTGACTTAGGTCAGCAGAAAGATTCCTCAATCTATCATTCTCTCTTTTCAGATGTTCACTCTTTTTGGTAGCCTCATCAGCAATAACTTTACACTCTTCATTTTCCTTTGACAACAAACACAACATAAATTTTAAATAGGAAACAACTCAAGACAAAAAGATGCAGTTAAGCTGTTGCACATTCATCAGTTTATTTTTTCTTTGAATTCAAACCTGAAGTGTAGGGGAACTTATTCTCTTTGGAGGCTTACAGTAGGAAGCTTATCAGAGACTGGGCACTTATTTCCACTTTTCAAAAAAGTATTTCTTCTAGCTTCTATGGACAGTAAAGCCATCGCTACAATTTCATAGGAAAAGGGCTTTTTTGGAAGTGGTACTCTTTGATGGAAATAACATTTGAGATCCAAAAAGAACAACAGCTTCCAAATGCAAAATGATATGATTTGAGTATTCCTAAGGAAGATAAATAAACTATGACTTGGCCTTGACAAACACTAAAATTGCTAGAGAAGGGGGTCAAACTGAAGCAGGAGTCATTACTGGATAAAGGGCTTCTGCAATAGAGCCACCTGTTGAGAAAGGACAATAAAAGGGGGACAGGAATTATAAGTAAAGGGTTACTTGTCCAAAGAAGGGTGCTTGATCAAATCATTTTCTTCACTTAATAAATGATACTTACAAGTTTGTTCACAGATTTAACTATAAGACAATTATATGAAACAAATATCTGCTTACCACAAGAGCTGAGTCCAGTCTCCTTGACAGCTGATCCACACTGTGCAATGCTTGCTCATAGTCTCTTCTCTGTTGTTGAAGCACTGGTGCCTTCTCTTCAATTTCCTGCAGTGAAGATTTCATTCATGAAATATGACTGTTGTATTTAGGTGCAGTATGACTTTGCAGCATGAATAATGCAAGAAAACAAAACAAAACAAAAATCTCTGAGGAGACATTCAGCAGTGAATACTTCACTGTAAGCCTGCAGTGTAAGAAATAAAGAACATTATTATGACCAAACAGGTGGATAGTAGTTTTCACACATACTCTGAGAGACTGATTTGAAAGTGATTACCAAGCACTACTGGTACTCACAAAGACAAAATTGCGTGTGAACAATTAACATTGTGACCATTTTTTAGTATACTGGCAGAAATAAACTAATTTTTAACATTGATTTCTGTATGGTATATATACTAAAGCAATTATTCACCTCAGCATTGGTGAAAGAGTTAAATATCTACCACTATCCATCCTCACCCTCACTTGGGTAAATATTTGTAAACTAATGTGAAGTATGGATGTTATGATGCTAATCTGTACCAGAATTACCTTAAGTATCTGATCCAGGTACTGTTTCAGTCTGATATTCTCATCTTTTTCTTGCTGCAAAGCATCAGAGACTTCGACGTATTGACTGTAAATCTACAAAAAACAAATCATGTCCATCAACATTTTTGTTTTGTAACACAAATTTTAAATAAACAGGTGTAAAGATACACTTACAAGAAATTGTAGTGTGATGTGAGAAAAATAAGGTAAAGGTAAAGTCTGTTTACGAGCCTAGTGGCCCATTAGGCCGGTGCTTAATTCAGGTTTCTGTAGCATGAAGCGACTAGGAGTATTTCTACTCCCCCCTGGATGGGATGCCAGTCCATCGCAGGGTTACCCCCAGCATTAAATTGCCGGTACCCATTTATACACCTGGGTGAAGAGACGCACTGTGAGAGTAAAGTGTCTTGCCTAAGAACACAACACAATGTCCCAGCTGGGGCTCGAACCCGGACCACTCGATCCGGAGTCGAGCGCACCAACCATGAGGCCACCGTGCCTCCACGTGAGAAAAATAAACAAGGTTATTAATGAAATGTTCCACAAAAAATGAAAATAGATTCATTATTATCAACCTGAGTAAGGGTCATTCCAGTCTTCATGAATGAACTTGTTGCTGCAGCAGTTGGAGAAAGTGTGCTTAACTCAGCTGGAGTAAGAGGTGCTGTACCTGAGAACAATTTGAAATATGTCAGAAATAACTTCAAGGAATGGGTTACCAAACCATCTGATGATTGTAAAGGGTGCTTGAAGGCATACATATTCGATCAGAACAGAAGAGAAATGGAAAGTAAACAGATGTTTATCATTCGTATTCTCCTGACTTCAGTTCCGCTGAGCTTATAACTCTTCTTGCAACTCCAATTTTTTCAATTTTACTGGGTTGGAAGCACTCTGATGACTCCAACTATGACTCGGACTCTGTCACCTGTGAAAACCAGCCTGAGGTTGGTAATTATTCAAGAGTTCAATTTACCTCTTTGTCTAGCAGCTGCTAATAAATCATTGGCATTTTCAAGTTCCTTGTCTAGTTTACTGATCCTTTCCTCTGTTGACAAAAAAAATCAACATTTTTTTTTAAATGCTCAGTTCTGACTTATTGTCCACAAGCTTCCCCTAAATCTAAGATGAATGTGCAAGTCAATATTATTTCCAAGGAAAGGCTATAGTTACCAAGTTCTTTAACTTTCTCCAAATGGGAATTCTCTTGTTCCTTTGATCTGCTATCAAGTTCAAGTCGACCTAAAAATTACAAAAAGAAAGTAAAAATCAAATTGAAGATATCTGCAGAGAAAAGGTTAAAAAATTGATTAAGTAAAAGCATTTCTTAATTTTCTTAAGAATCAATCACAACCTATATTACAATTACAATTAAAACAAGCCAATTTGAGGTTAGAAAGATTTCAAACCAGTTTGTTTTGCATTCTCTTTTGTTTAGCCCTTAACACCCTTACATCAGCATGTATATTCTCCATACTGTTCTCTATACATTTCCTTGGGTGTGGACAAGGAGAATTTGTTTAACAATCAAGAGCTTGTTTAGTTGATTGATCATTTTCTTTATTCTCCTGACCTGAATGTGTGATTCAGGGGTGATATTGTAAGGAGAAATTAGATGCTAGTCACTCTTAGGGGTTAAAGGGTTAACAAACATAAATAAGACCCTATAACAAAGGAAAAAATATATATATATTTAACAATTATTTGCCGAAGGCGAGGTGAATATCATTGAATAATCCGCAAGACGAATTCAAGGGGATTATTCAACATTATAATGCACCCATTAATTTTGGCACAATTTTATTGGTTACTCTACGTCACGTGGTGCAAAATCACAGGACAGTTATCATGCAATAACCCCCATCCGCATCAATATTTGTCCTCCAATTTTTTCCGTGAAAAAGAAACGTACTCAACACAAGAGTGTTCTCAGCCAAATATTCATTTTTCGGACAATCTCTCAGCCTCAGACATTATCAGCCAACATACCAGCCGCCCAAAGGGGTTTATTTACTAAATATTCACCGAACCTGAGGCAAATAATTGTTTTAGTATAATTTCAGAGCTGA